ACATGTCTAAGCTACTTGCTCCTTTAGGAACTTCCTCTACCTCAAAGACTCTGGTGGCTTTTGTAACACAATTAGAGACCTAAACCGCCCTGGAAGAATTGTGTTGTACGATGTGGTTGACCTGTTTACCAACGTTCCCCCGTCAAGAAGACATTGAAGTCCTCCGAACCCGAATAAATGAATTAGAAGTACCCCTATATACTAAGTTATCAACCGACCGCATCCTGGAATTAGTTACTATGTGTATTGATTCTACATTCTTCACCTGGGGTGGCGACATGCATGAGCAAGTCAACGACTTGCCTATAGGCAGTCCCTTATCACCCTTAATCTCTGAAATTTTCATGACAGAATTTGAAAAGTGTACGCTAAGAACCTCTCCCATTACTGCAATTCTTTGGCTTTGCAAGGTCGATGATACGTTTGTGGTCCTTGACGAAAATGATGAACCAATGTTCCTACTAGAACACCTGAACAAACAGCATCCCAGAATTAAATTTACTATCGAAATAGAAAAAATGAAATGAAATAAAATGGGGTTTAACGTCCTACTGTTCTGCTCCTAACCTGGGCTAATGAAGACGGGCATACGCCATACAGTTTGCTATGAGGGAAATTTTGCCCGGGCAGCGGCACTATCGCCTACTCTTATATCGAATTCCAACTGCCAAGGGATCTTTTAAGTGCACGCAAATGTGTACTATTTCAAATACAAGCTAAACAACATTTGCAGTTTAGCTTATATTTGAAATAGTATTTCAATTTGCAAACCATATCACGTTCGATGTTGTTTTCAATTTCTACACTCCGCCAAACCATTCAAACTGACGAAGAGCGAGTCGTTCGTATCAACATAAATGGTCCCGATCACACGCATTCTGTACGGATCACACGGTGGCGACACCAAACGACGTCATAATGATGGTTGCTAAGTAGAAGTATCAAAATTCTAAATTTGTTTGACTTTCATGCTTAACATGTAAAGCGACAAGAAAGTCGACATTTTTCGTCTTAATAATAGAAATAAGTTGAAACAGAATTAAAATTTACACTCAACAAAAAAAGAAGTTGGATTATACATTGTCTTAATATAGAAATTACATGAATAGAAGTTAGAAATTACATGAATAGAAGATAGAAATTAGACGATAGCATGTTAAAATTTTGAGTCTAATATACTGCCATACAGAACCACCCACAACATCGAATTAAATGGAATGAGGGCCAAATACTCACCGCCAACCAACAGAACAAGAAAACCAGGAAGATCCTAGAAGCTATAAACATCTGAACATATTCACCTGAACTTAATAGGGACTTAGGGCTTTACATCCCCAGGGCATATGATGATGTTATTAATATGCATAATATAATTTAACTATGGCAATTTAGTACCATTGGTTGTATTAAAATCTCCCCATTATGATCGTTAAGTTTTCGCTATTATAGTTTCTCCCAAATCTGTCCATTATTTGTGTATTGTTATATTTGTATTAATGAATCCATATCATATTTAATTTCATGCATATTCATGGCCTCACTATCTGTGCCTAATCAGCTTTACCCTGTGTATTCATGGCACCCTTTGAAGTGCCTAATAACAGTTAATACCTCCCTACTCATGTATTAGTAAGCTAATTACCTTGTGTATGTTAAATATCCTTTACCTCTTAGGTTCTTTTTGTTACTGTTATTTTAATCCATGTTGATGGTTTCACTATGAACTTTGTATATATTGGAAGCGGACGTAAAATACAACTAACACTAACTAACTAAATGTCATTGTGCTTGATAACGATAAGAGGATACTTGTCGAAACGTCGTGCTTTTAGAATAAAACTAGTGATTGTATCCCATAAAAACTGTGTTCTATTAATGTGTTTCCCGATCGCTTATGCCACTTAAAAGATTATTTTCTTTTTGTTATTATCAACATTTTTTATTGCTGCTCATGCTGAAGAGCCCCGATTTGTTGGTCGTGTGAGTAAACTGTTAGGAAAAAAAGTCAACATGGCCGGACTGAATACTTCTCACAACATTACATGTTTATATAAACTGCCAATCTTTTAACTATTTTACTTAACTTTTAAGATGCATATTCTGCTAAATCCATGATATTGCTAAATCCATGTTAATCCAGTAGAAAATGCACATATTTTGGTCAATTTTAAATCAAATTGTATAATACATTGATAAACTCGACAGGTCATGGTTGACCACCTCACTGAGCGTAAAAATATACATAATTCTGAAAATGTTAAGGGCAGGGTAAAGTGACAAAAATTGTCACATCACCTGAAATGAAGGTGCTCAAAAAATCATTCACAACACCTTTAGTACCTTTATTTTGGTGTCTTAACGTGCTTGAGATGATACTGAACAATAAAAAATGGATGAAAATCAAAAATAATGACTTTGGAATTTGTAACTTTCGAAAATATGAAGCAAATATACCACTCAGTACTGTGCAGCTGCAGGGTAAACAACTCAACATGGGAAATCATAAAGTCTCACACAGTTGCCTGAATATATACACTACAACCATCAAGACTTCAATTTTTTAAAAACTGTCTTTGTTTTAGCACACTACGTCCACATAATTAAAAATTTTTTTTTCAAATATCCTCCATTTTTTTCAAGGGACTACTTTCAGACTTTTTGTATGGAGTACCATCATAAACATCATTTGGATTAAATGTTTCGGTTCTGTATGGAAAATTGTAAATACTGCATCACAATTTCCTTGAAACTGCTTTTGGTTTTCATCAATTTTCTATAATGAATACATATTGTTATCATTTGTATTACTTCTTAATTCACCCCTTGAAACTTTGGCAGGAAGCACAGATGTACTGACAATTACACATTGAACGTTTTTACTAAGTTTTACAGTAAAATAATTTGTTATAAATTTTATTCAATATTTATTCACACTCAACACATTGTTTAATCTTAGATTGTACACTAATAGTCCACTACTGAATGTGGAAAGGTCCACATTGGAAAATATGATGTGTTTCAAATGGTACTCCATAAAAATGAATTTGCCCCACAAAAATTATATCAAGGTAACAAATTCTATATCAGACCCTCAAAATGATTTATTATTCTAACATAAATGAATAATAATCTATCCAAAATTGAAAAACAAGCCATTTTGCTAACATTTACCAACTCTTGTCAACGGCAGCCATGATAGCTTAGATTTTGACAGTTTTGTTTTCATCAATTTACAGAACCATATATGAATAATGTTGATATTAAAAGATGTGTCAGTTCTTGAAAATGAAGCGCAATAGTCTATAATATTACGATTTACCACCTGATGTAAGGATAATTGTGAAAGTATTAGTCAAAAAGTATTTACTGCATTTTTATTTACCTTTCTGTGTCGAATTACCGCTCAAAAGAAGTGTTGCTCGCATCAATTAGTTCATGCATGACTGATGTTTTTAATATTATCAAATCCCGTAATTATGACACATTTGTATTTTGATATGAATTAATCGTATTCCACAGTTGTTTAAATTTAAAAATTTGTATTTAAAATTAACACTTTGCTCATTGATATTAGCATAAGGTCAAGGACTTACCAGATATTCGGCCCCGAAAGCTACCTACGAAACATTGTTTACATTTATACAACGGCAAAATGTGTTATTACTAACCAGATACAACATAATTGTATGTATGGTGATGTAAATGAAACATTTGCATATCGATACAATGTTCCGCTAAGCGTTGTCAGTTAAACGATTATTGGCATCACTCGTCTAACATCTCAAGATACGAAGGGTCATTTTCAAAATTGAAAAAGAAAATGTCGTATCCCAACCCCGTGGTAGCAAGGACGTGGAAATCTCACACTACGAGGAAATAGGAAAGCAACTCGAAAAGCTAATACTCGACTACTGTACTACATAGATCAGAGTCTAAATAGAGAGATAATAGCTGTCCCTAAGTTTTAGTTTTATATTTTTGTCTGTAGGTGTAACCGCGATTGGGCATGAAAGTGATGAAACTGAAATTTTCGTTACGTGATAACACGCGGATGTACGAATTAAAGGGGGTATTGACAGTGAAATAGTGTATTGTGATTAAAAAGAGTTTATTTTGGACGTTTGTATCCCAGGGCCACTATTAATCTGTGTTGGGAAATAATATCTTCAGCCTTGTTGGTGTTGAGACTACTATGCAACAATTTACCTTGCCCTTAATTCAATTTTGCCCGAAAAGAAATGGGATTCTCGTCTTGCCATAATACAAGTTTTCTAAATGTTTCAGAAAAATCTGATGAAAATTCTAGCCTCTATTGTGCTGACAAGCATTACAAGGAGTGTGGCCGAGTTTCTGCAAAAGGGAGGCACGGTGACTCAGTGAGTAGGACACTAGCTCACTAACCTGGAGGTCCAGGGTTCAATCCCTGTGTTGGCTGAGAAAGTTCATCTAGATTTTCTGGCGTGGTTCCCCCTTGCCTTGTCAGTGGTGCAGGACAGAGGGTCTGGCAAAGGACTATATGTATAGGATGAAAAACCAAAGTCCTGTGTACAAATTGATGTGCACATAAAAGAACACTTGACAGTTGGAATTTGAATTAAGAGTAAGCCATACCACCGCTGTTCGGGCAAAATTTTCCCTCATAGCCCACTGTATGGCATATGTCCGTCTTCATTAGCCTAGTAGGTGCAGAACAGTAGGACGTTAAACCCCATTTCATTTCTGCAAAAAAGGGCGTAACTCTAAATATATAGGGATCCTCTGAAAGTTTCAGATAAAACTCTGGCCTCTATTGTGCTGACAAGCATTACAATGTGGGCAGATTGGCAAAAAAGGGGCATAGCTCTAAAAATATTAAGCCGATTTTGTCAATCAGAAATAGGGAACCTCTTCTTGTCAGAATACAAGTTTCCTGAAAGTTTGGGACGGACCGTCGAAAAGGGAAATTACACATGTATGACCACATTAACATTTGGGCTTATAAAAAACAATTAGAGATCTGAAAGATTTGTACAATTTAATTAAATATTAATATATTTACAACCATTGCATATTCGTTCTTAACATAGAATTTAAACTGAGACTTCATTATATTATGATTAAGGATAATGAAAAATAAATTAAAGTCATAATGCACTATTTTAGAGCTACAGAATCCCTTGCAAACTACAATATTGTGAAAGATGAATCTCTAATAGGAATATCAGTCCAAAAATGGTTCATTCCATAGTATTTACAAAGATATATGGAATATAAATTACATTGATCTATGCTGCTTGCTATGCAATAAGCCTGTTGCCCGTGAAAATGTATTGATAAGTTGTTTTTAAATATGATTGAATCCATGCTGGGACATTATCTAGCGTTTGTATTTTGATTTTGTTTTCTTTATTAAATGTTAAATAATCATCCGGAGTACATGTACATACAAGTGTGGATCAAGTCCTGAAAAAGTTTTAAGTACATGTACTGTTAATAGAAGACTGGACAGACAAGATATTGGGTCACTTACCTGGCTACCTCACATTGCCTGTTGTGTCTGGCACATGAGGTTTACAATCAAATATTGACTTTTGAGTTTAAGTATATTGGATTACATATCACAGTTTATTGTTTAGCGTGTGAGGTACTGAGGTAAATGGTAGACCTCCCCTTTCTCCTGTCCATGAATATTACCACTGGTATCAGACCCAACACCAGAGGAATTCTGACTCAGTAAAATATTTATAATACCCGTCCTTATAAATGCCTAGAGGATGTGAACTTATCTGCTATATTACATTTGTAGTTGTATATATATATGTGTAGTTCAGAATTTTAATTGTGCTTTTCTTTTCATAGCTTACAACTTCTAAAATATTCCACTTTTCTATACATAGGCTACACATATGATGTGATTCACAAATTGTACTTCTGTATTACAAATATCTTAACTAAAGCATACAAAAGCACCTATTTTAATGGTATTTTTAAACTAGTTCACAATCTAAATTGTACTTTATATACCTATTTTTCATTTTTTATTTCTACTTTTGTATACACAGTTAAAATTTTGGTTGTATTTTTCTTTAGACATAACAAACAAATTGTACTTCGTACAGCTTAAATAGTATGTTGTACAAATTCTTAATCAAAATTATGTTCAGTTTTGTGTGATTCTTGGGATCTAATAATCCAAACCAATAACAAACAATCTTTAAATGCCATTTAAAGACAAGTACACCATCAAAATACTTCATCACATTTTTAACTTTTAATCATGCCGCAATGATATAGTAAAGTTTTGAATTGGTCTACTACTATCATTAGAATCCACTTTCTTATACAAGTACACAGTTTATTCAATGATTTATATATATTGGATAATAAATATTCAAAATGGCCATAAAATGCATTCAAAAATACCTATTTTTCCAAAAAAGATATTTATTTTGACAGTACCACTTCTGCATATCAGAATGAAATATATTAAATGAATTTGTGACAATTAAAAAGACAGCAAATCACATTGAAATCCAGGTTTGATAGTCTTGATCAGTAGGTAAAACACTTGACAGACAAATCTATATAACCATTGGTTCCTCTTCTACTACTCTATTGATAGAACTGATTGTTAAACTGATCAATGCTGGACAATTCTCTTGTAAAATTTTTCTCATGTTAGTTATCTCCCTTTCTTTGATATGAATATCACTTAAATTCAACAATTGTAAACTTTTAGATCTTAAGCACACTACACCTGAAATAAAATTTATAGCCAATTAGTTAGTCCCAAATTATAACCTAGTCAATTTGAATTAAAGGTGATAGTTCCACTAAAATATGTAGTCGATCTGAGTACACAGTGAATCTTATTTTAAAAATGGTGTCAATTTAAACCTTTGATCTCACTGTTCTCTATAAAGGTTTAAAGAATATGACTTCTTACCAAAACCAATGACTTATTTTGTTGTGGAAACAGTCTTGTTGGAAAGTACAGGGTGATAACTCAAATATATACAAACGAATTGGAAATATTCTGAAAATTGACGGTTCTTCATTATACCCTAATGGGCAATCCTAATCCTGTATCATGTTCACAAGATTACAAATGTCCAAACATAAGTGATGAGAAAACTCGACTTTGATAAGGGTCTTCCTTAGGACTAAATAAATAAGCCTTGATAGATGAAACAAATCCAATAAAAACTGTAGTGTGTGAAGCATTTACTGGTACAAGAGAGAGAGAGAGAAATGGGGTTTAACGTCCACTCGACACAAACTAGGTAATTTCGGGACTAACATATGGTTTAATTTTATTTACATAATCCGCTTGCGCGTAGGGGTCTTTAGCGGTGGGAGGAAACCGAAGGACTCGGAGAAAACCCATGAGGTTGGACAGGCGACCCTACTCCTTGTCACGTACAACCAGGGATTCGAAACCACGCCGGTCGACTCAATGACAGACTTTTACATGCACGCCAGTGTGTACACAGAATCTCCTTTTTTTTTTTATCCCAACCAAACGACTATACGTTGTGCATTGCCAGGCCCTATGTCCTCCACTGCTGACAGTCTAAAGTTGGACGAACAATATACTTGATATTACATGTTTGTGGACAATAACAATACCGCAGTTACTGGAACTGTTGTGGGCTGGCTACTGAGACTTACCTGTCTCTGTGATTTTATTTTTACTCAGGTTGACTTTAGTTAAATAACATTGGTTTAATATCCCTTCTGCTAGAATATCACTAGTAATTCTTTGAACAAAAAAAACAAAAAAAAATTAACAAGAGCCCTAACTTCTTTGGTCCTCAATTTCTAAGTTTATTTTCTATCTAGTTAAATTAAATTTTTAATGAATTTCAAAAGTTAGGCGAATAGAGCTTACAACTATTTTGTCAGTTTAGATTGGATTTAAATTAAATTTACATTTTTGAAGATTACAATTACATTTTTGAATAGAATAATGGATAAAAGCCTGTTTACATACTGTGTAGCTGCTAAACTTAATTCATTTAATTTCTTGAATTCTGAAATTGAAAATAGATTATTATAAATTTTGCAACTAAAGGGGCAACACATCACAATAAAAGTCAGATTAGAGTCTAAGATCATATCAATTACAAAATTTACTCATAATAAAATACTGTCTTCATTAGACCAGTCGGTGTAGAAAAGTAGGGTTTTAAACCCCATTTCATTGCTTAATAAAATCATAAAATCAAATAATTTCCTAAATCTTTGGGTAAAAAAGTTAAGCATAAATTCAGTACATGTACCTTTAATAATGCGGGTACCTTCATCTGTGACACTGGTTCTATCTAAATATAATACTTCTAGATTCACTAAACCTACAAAATAAAAACAACAGTACGTATACATTTACAGTGTATATTATAATGGGAAAAAATATGCAATATGTAAGTGCGTAAACAAAAATAACCATTTTTGATTCAATGAAATATACCATACAAATGTAAGAAAAATTAATTGATGCAAAAAGCTGAACTACATCTAAAGGAAAATTGGTATCATTCTACTTGTATAGTAACATAATATTGATATTCAGACACATTACTGAGAATCATCAACAATCTATTATTAATATGTAATTGTTATTCATAGTTAATAACATCCCAGTTTGTTTAGCATATGTGACCCGTGCTGGCAAAATGAGTCGGAATTTGCCAAGTCTAATAATGAGCTACAGACAAAACAAGTGTAAATATTGATTTTGATCGAAATTGAGATTTTCACAAAAATGAGTCTATAAATATACTATCTATCGATCCAAAAGATCAAAATAGCAATAAAATATTTTAAAACACCTTTATTTGGCCATTTTGTAAGAGTACCGAATTCATAAGGCTGTCTTCTTACTTAAATTCCTCAGCGAAATTAGTTATTCTTCTCTGCTCGCAGCGGGACGACCAGTCAATCCTCTTACATAATACTTGACATAGTTGTAAAGCGGCAAATCTCTAGTTTATAAATATGACCAAAGTATTGCAGATGAATTCATTCTGAATGAATACAAACAAGTTTTTAAAACCCCTACAAAACATAAACAAACCACAGTCCACACAATTCGTTTGCTGATTGACCCAGACACCCCGTGTAAAGCATTGTAGCATCGTGGCTGCCTCTAGGATTTGTGTGATAATTTTTTTGGGGTACATTCAACTCTCTCGGATGATTTACCAAATAATACCCAATACCACCCCAATTATCACCACATACTACCCAATGCTACAATACAACATAATGATGCAAAATGGGCATATTACTTGATGTTTTTAAAAATAAAGAGTAATATCCTGGGAAATGTACTTCAAATGACAAATGCTTATGGATGTCTGGCTGCAAATTTTTTAAATATAATCCTAAAGTGATCTAAAATAACCTAGTTTGTGTCCAGTGGACTTAAATCTTTCTCTCTCTTTTCAAGTTACTATTAAGTTAGTTATTGCATATTTACCAACCTTTTAAAGTGTAATAATGTATAATATGACCTCAAGTATAGTGGGACATCTGTAATAACTTTTTGTTATTGCCACCGCCCGACAATACCCATGGAGTGGTAAAAATAGTTATTTATGGACTGATGGTCATCTTATATATAATATACTATTCAAAAAAAGTAGGGGATATTTGATTTTTAAGTGTTATTAAAGTCACCTAATGAAACTGACGAAGAAACAAATGACAAAATGAAATGAAGTTCACATTCATCGATTTATTCCAAATGATCGTTAGACTAAGTAAGGCACAGACTGACCATTATAAGGGTAAAATGATACCCGGGGTCAAACAGCAAAGTTACCACAGCATCACAACCAAGTCAGTAACGGGTAAATCCTCCTCTGTTTGCCAAACAAGCATTGATCCGACGTGGCATACTCCTAATGAGACGTCTAAGGTCATTTTGGTCCAGATTGTCCCATTCCTGTTGCAACGCAGCAGCAAGTTCTTGGACATTGGCAGGACGTTGTTGACGTTGACGTAACCTCTGTCCAAGCATGTCCCAGACATGCTCGATGGGGGAGAGATCGGGACTCAGTGCTGGCCAAGGTAATGTGGTGATGTTCTGTTGTTGGAGGTAACCTGTAACGATCCTGGCCCTGTGACATCTTGCGTTGTCATCCTGGAAGATGAAACGGCGGCCATGACGTCGTGCGAACGGCACAACATGGACTGCCAAGATGTTGTCCCGGTAGTGCTGGCCTGTAACACGCCCTGCAACAACATGTAAAGCCGTTCTTCCAGCAACAGTGATGCCTCCCCACACCATAACAGAACCACCCCCAAATTGATCATGTCTGATGACGTTAACGTCTTGGAAGCGCTCGTTTCGACGACGCCACACCCTCCTACGTCTGTCCAAAAAATCAACAGTGAACCTTGACTCATCTGAAAACATCACATTGCTCCAGCGTCGATTATCCCAGTGTTGACGATCCCTACACCAACGACGTCTTGCCTGAATGTGATGATCTCTCAAACAAGGGATCACGCGAGGACGTCGGGCGCGAAGGTGACCCCTATGCAGTCGATTCCGAATCGTCTGGCCACTCACTCTCACACCAGTGTCTGTTTGAAGACGAGCGCTGATCTGATTTGCTGTGATGACACGATTTCTCAAGGCCAAGGTACGGATAAATCGATCCTGGGCTTGAGTTGTCGCCCTTGGTCGACCTGAGCGTGGTCTGTCCTGTACAGATTGTGTATCACGGTATCTGGACCATAGCCTGCTTATGACAGACTGAGAAACATTCATCGTCCGCGCCACAACCGCCTGTGTTGTGCCGATCTGTAGCATGCCAAGGGCACGTAACCTTTCATTTTGTGTAAGCCGACGCATATCAAAATTTGTTTTCTGGTCACTAAAACAATTAAACTGATGTTTCCACCCTGGAATTCAATGCCACAATGACTGTAACATTCAAAGTCAGAGTCGTGCAAATCTTGGGTTGGACCCCCATGATGATCCCAAGCATCACCTGCATTCCATGCGGTAGCTATTGGTGCGTTTGGGTGTCACATGTAACTGGAAATGTTTCTTCTGTTAGGTTCTATAGTGACTTTTTTCGTAGTCATTTGCATAATTTAGTATTATGCCCCCAAAATCAAATATCCCCTACTTTTTTTGAATAGTATAATACAGTAGTAAGCATGTTTTGATTTAATGATATATAATGATTAAAATATACACAAAATACTTATTTTTTTCTTATTTTAACTTCGCCGTCTTGGAAATCAACTGTTGATTAATTTGAGTAGCATATGAAATTGATTTGTCGGTTGTAAAGGAAGATAACTGCATAAAAATTGTTGAATATTTGTTGCAGTAATTATACAAATGTTGTGTTATTTGAAGATATTAGGTTGGTAATTGATACTATTGTGTAGTATTTGATAAGTGTTTGGTAGTATTGGGTTATTATTTGCTAGTTTTGGATGACATAGGGGGGCAAATGGAACAGCCAAACATCGGTAATTGCATTTGAAGTAATTTTCCTGCGATATAACTCACTATTTTTTTTAAATATTTCAAGTATTATCCACATTTTGGATCATTATGTTGTAGTATTAGGTAGCATGTGGTGATATTGGGGGTAGAGTTGGGTAAATCGTTCCACCCAACCTGAAGCATCTTACAGGAGAAAAACTTATATTTCACATATTCAGTAGTATAAATACCTGTATTATTGTTGGTTATTTTATGTTACCACCCACATTATTTCAAAACTGATTTTGCCACATTTTTAAACATAGTCCAGCATATGGTCTGATCTGTTTTGTGGAGCAGATTTGACAGCATTGTCTAACAAACACAAAATTTCAATGAAAAAATTTTGTCCAAGCATTACTGACCTTTCAAACTGATTAAACCTGCATCACCAGTTTTTGTATTGCTCAGTAAAAGTTTCTTTAAACTACAAAATAAAATATGAAACAAACTTTTCAATTTGAAGCTTCCCTTGTAGAAACATTAAACGAATGGAGATGTTGTTTAAAGCTAAATTAAAAGTACAGTATATTTAATTTTAAGGGTTAAAAGTAATACTTCTGGTTTCGAATTAAAGAGGGGTGTTATTTGGCAATACACATTAGCTGGCATTCTAACGAACAATCTCGAAACATGTCTTCTAATGATGTAGTGTCTATGCCTTGAATGTACTATTAGTGGTTTTTCATTACCATCATACATGATAAATTCCCACGGAAAAAGTTTTGAAGTGTACAGTTTGTATGCTAACAACATCAATGCTAAAGAATGGCAATAGTTTGCCATGAATCACCCCAAGATTAGAGGTTTGTTCTTGTCCAATAGATAATGAATTTCAGCCAGAACAGCATGGCGTTAAACCCTATTTCATATACAATTGAGTAAATTAGGACATCTCTTAATTTTAGAAATTTCTTCAAAATGTGGTTACCATGGTAAATACATTCAGCTAGTATTACCCTAAAAGACCCTTTATATAGTGACATTAATTTTAAAAAAAAAGTGTTCTAATCTGCTGTGGAAAAATGTAATATTACAACTACAGCTACACTTACCTATGAATTTTTCCGATATGGCGGACACCTTCATCACCAATATTGATATAATTTGTTAAATCTAAAACTACCAATGGAAACCCTGTAAAATATCCAATAAAACAATTTATCTTGGAACTGGATGATATTCAAGCTAACTTATTAAATCAATGTTTCAGTAATCGTTCAGTGCCACTCAAAGGGCTATAGACGAACACATTAGCTACATGAACATGCCACAGGAAACCGTTCCTCACAGGCTAATCCCTCATATCAGAGAGACTGTGGATTATTTAAAACTGTTCTAATCTAGCTCATTGTGCCTTTATGAAAGTATGTTTAGTCATCATGCAGGGTAACCCATAAAATATTTAAATCATAATGAAATAAAAATATCATTTCAATTAGACCATAATATTATAGATGTTTTATTTACCAGTTATGAATGTCATGCCTTGATCTGTTGTAGAATGTCGACTAGGTAACATTAAATTCTGTAATTTTAAACCTGTAATAATATAAGGAGTTAAATGAGTAAGAATGGGATAACCACACATATCCTGAAATACCTTACCTACTAAATCGATTGAAAGTGAGATATTCAGATGTATCCCAGACCTATCTACAACTTACAGGTTATTAGCTATCTCTACCGTGTATCAGCGATGAGATGAAAATATTGATGCATGGCAGGTCTATTGCTCTGTACATAACTTTGTATAATCAATTCACAAAAAAATGCATAAATGTTTAAGCTTTCAAACAATGTACATAGTAAAGTATACTTAGGTCGGACTCGATCTTAAAAATATAAAAAAACTGCGAATCTTTAAAGATTAGGAAAACAAATGGCAAAAAGCAGACTTTAATATTTTTCTCCTGGTTGTCAAAATGATTACTAGGGACAAATATTTTGAATTAGATATAATGTAGGTGTTGTTAGTGAACCTAAAGAAAAGCATGTGAAGATAAAGTGTAGTTTACTTCATACAGTCTCCAGTTATATTTCAGATCTTGACATTTGTATTGTTATCTAAAAGGCAAGTTTCATTCAGCAGAATTAGCTGTATGTAGCCTTGGTTCACGTATATTCCTTTATCAAAGATAAGAAAGTTTATATTTACCTGCTAGGTACTGAAGACCTAAATCACCATTAACTCTTTCTGTACCAGATATATTTAGTGATGTTAAACTGGGCAGTTGTGCCAAACATAACAACGCGTCGTTAAAAATATCTGTATTAGATAGATTTAACTGCTGTAATGTTGTTATGTACTGTATACCAGATAAACTACATACCTTCAAAACATACAAATTACAATATAAACCAAATAAAATTAAAGTTCCTGTGTAAATACTGTGTGATTTGATACTAATTTAAGGAATCTATCTATCCAAATTTTGCTTTAGATCCCTTTAGAAAAGATTCTAATCGCAAGAAAACTACCCCATGCCACAAGAACCTATTTTAAGCAGCCTTGTTTGTCAAGTAACTTGATTCAGGAAGAATCAATTTTCCGCTTGTAATTGTTGTTGGTCGTAAATATCTAACCTAAGAAATTTCTTGGATTAGGCTGACCTTAAAAATATCTTTGTTTCGCCTAACGCGACCGACTAACTAAAACCACCCCCGACTTAAATTATTTTATTGCACTTTTCCACGATCTTTTTATTTTATTTTGTGTGTCAACCTGAAATATATCACGAGAGTTATTTCCCTTTACTATGGCTATGGTTTGATTCATTATTGAAACTGGTTGATCAAGACGAAAGCGTCATAGGTGTCGCTTCTCAACAAAATGGTTGCAGACGAATACACGTCCATTCCCACGAAATGATTCTGCGTCTATGTCTGTGGTGCGTAGTTTTAAACATGACGACGATATATTCAATATCCGTTTTCGAGAAAAATGAAGGCACAACCCGCAGTATCGTTAAAAACGTGTTGAAGGAGTTTCACACTTAAAGTTCGTGGCAAATCGTTTGCGAGTCGGGCATCACGAAAAATTCCCGATGTCATTCACTCATTTATTTTTTTGCCAATTGAATAAGGAAGACGAATGTTTCCACCCGGAAAATTATTAAGCTGTCAAATTAGCTCTTAAGTTTAATAAAAAAAACTTTCAGTTCGTTACTTTTTACGTCAGACCCCAAATTCATTAAACAAAATTAATGAATCTGTAGTATACAGCTAATAAGTTTTCTGTATTGATTTCTCTAACTTTAAAAAAAAAATCTGAAAAAAAAACGACCTACCGACCCTTCTCCTCGATTGTGGGTCGGGTTTGGTGAAACAAAGATATTTTTAAGGTCAGCCTTATCCTCGGCTAACTTCTTTTTCCACCGTTTAATTGCAGAGTCTAAATGACATTTAAGTCTCTCATTGTTTTCATAGCTGCTAGCCATTGGATCAACCTATATGAAGCTCTACATATACGTCACTTGGGCAAACAGACTGCCAGTTATTGATATCTTTACATTTTTGTAATGTGGGTGCCCCATGGGTGTTTTTCATGGAATCTAGTATTTTTCTAGTATGACTGAGATTCTCAACTTTCTATATATAACAAATATGCCATGCTTTTATCAGAAATAACTAACTACTGTATACATAATTTCGTGGGAATGCATCTTTAAGAATGTTTCAAATAAAAACTTTATTGTGCTTCAGGTTCTTCATATCCTCTTATAGAAGGCTTAAAGTGATATTGCTGGATATTTAAAATTGTGTTTCACACTGCAATTCACCAAGGTGAAAAGCTGACATCATGTGCTGTCAATGTCCCCAATCCAAATATGGTATATGTTGGTTTGTTATCCCTTTTCTGTGATACAGATGCAGAATTAAATGAATACTGCTTTTGGAAACATATTTTGACTTTCCCATAATTTGCATGGGCTGCATTAACAAGGTTTTTTCTAAAACAAAGGTCACAGCTTTCATTTTGTCATGAACACAAGGATGCTAGATTAGTCTGAAATTCCCAAACTTTTAGATACATCATCTCCCTTTACTACAGACATGTGATACAAACACATAATGGAAAAGATTCGTTTACAGCCAGTGAAATCTTTTTTATAGCAATAAAACTCACAGAAAAACAAAAAAAAGCAACCTTATTAGGATAATGGAAGATCGGAAAATTAAATTAGAAAGGTTTGGACTAAGATGTGAAGTGGATCATAGCGGAAAAGTGAAAAACGAACCTTGAACTGTGCAACTTGATTATCACAGCTAGACATTTCAGTTGGAAAGCGCGAGACTTGGTATTTGCGATGATATATTCTATCGAGGAATCTGAGAAGTCTTGAACTGGGTCCAAGACAAATCAAAATGTAGAATATTACGTAAAGGTCTTGATAAGCGAGATCAAGTCTTCTATTGAAGATGTGATTGTTGTGAGATGGAAACGATTGTACAAATGTTGCATAAAATGATATTTACCTTAGTGTCTTCTAACTGAAGAGATTTTAATTCTACTAAAGCTGTCAAGAAAAAAAAAACACCAGAGAAATAAAATTTATGAAAACCAACATTATAATGGCCTGATTAATGTTTAAAGTGTGTTATAAGTATATTTTTTTAGAGCATAGACCTAGCTATCCTCACAATAAATATTGTCAAGTCTTAGTGTAAAAAAAAATATCGGCAATAATCATTAATTACAACAAATTTGTAACTCATTCACCACAAAACATTTATCCATCACATGAATAACAAGTAACAACTGGTACCGATAACCGGATGTCGGCAATATAAACATTCATAGCATCGGTACCGTAGATTCACGTGAGACTGAATGAGATTGCCATTTCGATAACCCATCTTATTGCTCGGATTACGAATGTCATCTCATCTAACCTATCCATCAAGAAGCATGATGATTAATGATAACTCAATAAACAGTGTATATGTATGTCCTTAATCAAATAGAATATATATCTGTGGTAAAGTAAGGTATGAATCACTGTGTTAATTGTTGAAAAGACAATTCCATAGATCATTATGTGGATGAAAGTACTTGCTTTACATTTTATTTATTCATACAGTATTAACAGAAATGAATGAAAGAACCAGTGGTTGCCAGGCAAGATACACCCACATTAATTTGCAATAGATGGATAGAGAATATGCTAAAAAAAAAAACCCCAAAAAACAATTTTTTCGTACAATCAGGGGCTATAATCCAGGAAGTTTTAAACATACCTTTCAAGTTTCATCAAAATCGGATAAAAATTGTGTACATACTTTTACACTGTTTGCGTACGAGAGACGGTCATTTTGGCCGGCAGTTTTGGTCAAATTTTCACGAAATTCGAATTCCACTAACATTATGTAGTAATGGTGATATATGTTTTTTTTAAATCGGATAAAAATTGTAACCACAAGCTAAAATTGCCATTTTTCGTACAACCAGGGGCCATAATTCAGGAATTTACGATCTGAAGTGGGCGAATATCGAAAGGAACCAAGTTTTATCAAAATTGGATGAAAATTGTGACCTCTAGAGGGTCCACAACCATGATATACCATATTTTTACACTATTTGCGTGGGAGGGGCAGCTATTTTGTCCGGCAGTTTTGGTCCGATTTTCACAAAATTCAACCTCAACCAACATTATGGTGTGACCTCTAGAGGGACCATAAGCTAAAAACACGACTTTTTCGTACAATCAGGGGCCATAATCCAAGCAGTTACGGTCCGATATGTGCCAATTATGATCTCTAGCGTGGCAATAAGATAAAAACGTGATTTTTTGTACAATCAGGGGCCATAATCCATGCAGTTACGGTCCGATACAAGCCAATTTTGAAAGGAACCAAGATCTTTGGGAGATTGACCTATATTTCAAGTTTAGTCAAAATCAGATAAAAAGTGTGACCTATAGAGTGTCTACAAAAAAATTGTGGACAGATGTCCGAACGGACAGGGGCGACGACAATATATGTCCACATGAAAATGAGGGTGTATAAAAGGCCTCAGAGATTGAAGCCAAGATTTACCTTTAAGTGGAGGGATAAATGCATGTGTAACACTAGTACTGTTTAAGTTTAAATGTTGTAGGCGTACACAATGAGGTATAACATGCGTAGTAATACCATTATCATTTACACTGGTTTTCGTCAAATTTAATGATTGAAGGCTTGGTAAAGCTGTAATATAGATTGTATAACCATATATTTTACAAAAATCAAACTATTTAATGCACGAGCCAACTTTAAATTACAACACTGAATTTAGTTAGAGGCTGCAGTTGTGACAGTTTAAAGGATTATAATAAGAAGTAGCATTTTATGATTTTTCTGACTATTTGTTGTAACTTTGATAAATAACATTTCATATATATGTTTACCTTTCATAACAAGAAGGCACTTATTGGTGAGTTGTTTACAGGAACCTAGGTTTAAAACTTTTAACCTCTTCATACCTAAAAAAACCCAATAAGTTACATCACTCTCAATCAGAATCAAGAGTTATTCCTAATGAACATCTAAACCAGGTTTGAACATTCTAACCTCAATTAGAAGCAGAGTTTTTGTGTCCCAAAATCGTAATCAATCTAACTGCAAATCTCCGCTTAGCCTAAGCAGAAAATGCTCATCATAAAAATAAGTCTGGATATTCATATAATGAACAACTATACAAAATTAGAACATTCACACACAATATTATTGTGTCTCAATAAATGTGACATTCGAAATTAAATTCCTCAATTAAATAATATATCAAGCTTCTTAACTGACAAGAAGCTAAGTATTGTTGGTTTATGTGTCAGTTGTTGTATATGCTGCTGAGAGTTTATGAAGAGAGAAATAAATTACCTGATATTGATTGTAAACCAGTATCTGTTATAAGTGGACATGAATTTAAACTCAACACACTCAAATTACTGTGTAACCTGAAACAAAACATCATCACTTCTAACTTACTTAATTTTATATCTTAACAAATTCAAAAAAAAAAGATACCTTCCCGCATACAAACTGAGAGATTTGATAATTACTGTGTAACCTGAAACAAAACATCATCACTTCTAACTTACTTAATTTTATATCTTAACAAATTCAAAAAAAAAAGATACCTTCCCGCATACAAACTGAGAGATTTGATAATATATTTGGACATAAAACAAATTTAAACTAATTAATCTATCAAAATTTTGCTTTAAATCCTTATCAAAACGTCGCGAGGGAATACCCCTGCTATAAAAAAATCTATTAAAAGAAGTCATGTTTGTGTCAGGTGACTTGGCTAATGCGCCACCTAGCAACAGGTGCGAAGCCAGAGAAAATTCATTGCATACACAAGACAATGTTGTCTTTAACTGCTGTCCATTTATCATAAATATCAAAGCCTAATTAAATTCTCGGATTATCCACGGCCTATGTCTTTTTCTGTGGTTTTTATCTCAGAAACTGTTGTACGTTTAAGCTCCCCATGAAGTTTATCAACATATACACATCAAGCGCTCACTTTTCCCGAAAGATCAGACCATCTTCGCATGCAACCTTTCACGTCACGCGAGCAAACATTTCTAATCGTCGGGTTGCCGGTTAGGGAAACCCTTACAATTTTGTCTTCTATGCTCTCCATGGGTATTTTCCAGCGAATCCAGTATTTTTCAATTAAGATTAAGATTGGATGTTTCTACTTTTCATATTTACCAAAATTGCCATACTTTTATTGGAAATAACCACCCAATAAAGACTTCTGGGACAATCTTTAAACACCCCTAATTATTGAAAGATAGGTTTCCAGGCAACGAAACATACGCCCACAGCAGCTAAATCTTCCGGGCAGTCAACAAGAGTTGTCACATATTTTACTTTTTCAGTAATGAAACATTAAAATACACTAAAATATGATTAAGAGTAACAACTCATTAAGTAATTATCAGAAAATCATTAGAATTTGTTTGGTTTTTATAAAGTTCTGCCCCATGCTAACGTTTAGCATACGAAACATTTAATATCATGGATTTAGCTGATTCATTGTATAGCTATGATTTAATATCTAATATAAAAAAACCCACAACAGATCAGCTCAATTCAACCCTTTATTTAGACCTGATACATCATTTTAGTGCTATCGGAATGCTTGCAAACTGCAATATTTTGAAACATGAATCTCTGATAGGAATATCCGTTAAAAATGGTTAAATTCCATTCAGTAGTTACAAAGATATGTTGAATTGAAATTTCATCAATGTATGTTGTTTGAGATGTAATAAGCCGGCCGCCATATTATTGTCCGCAAAAATTTATTGATAGGCCTGTTTTAAATCCGATTGAATCCTAGCCGGGAGATTTTCTAGTGTTGGTTATTTTAATTTTGTTTTCTTAATTAAATTTTAAATAATCAATCCAAGTACATATTTCGTGTGGATTAAGCCGTGAGAAATTTGATATTTTAGCGAAAATGCAAATGATGCATCAAGCCTTTTTTCAAAGAGTTCCATCATATAGTCAAATCACAATTCGAGAAAAACAACAAGTGTTATTTTTATCGGTTTTCATTTAAAATAGTTTTTATTGTTTTATTAAGATTTGCAGGAAATCTGGACAATGATATTTATATTAATAAATATTGATGAAAGTAACATACCTAACTGCCTGTAGTAATTCATTGGTTGTTAGGGGATAACAATCTAAAACAAGCTTTCTTAAATAACTGAAAAATAAAGATTGAAGGTAAGGTCTTGAAAATAGCTCCTGGAAAATTTATTATTTAATAAATTATGATTTTTAAGAATGGCTCTTCACCATGGTAGCCATTTGTAGGCGAAAATAATACTGATTCTGAGTGAGAATCTATCGCTCTGAAACTGTTTTTATTTAAGGGATTCAAATCCGTTTGAAAACACTTCACTTAGTTGGTAAGTGGTGATAAACATGGCCAAAAAAACAATTTAAAATTGTTGACTGCCAGCCCATTGTCCATCATGTTTAATAAAATAAAGTGCAGGGATGGTTTGGTCGGCTTCTTGAAAACTTAAACTAAAACCTGTGTCAAACTGGTTTAATCACTCACACCTGTTTCCTTCCAATAAATTTACCTTGGTCATCAGACTTTAAGATTTTAATCTTTGAGTGGTATTTAGCAATTCAAATAAGTAATAAACACAATATGAAATACAATTTCTATTTTAATTTAAAGTGATGAAACGTTATCAAGCAAATACTATTACGTTTCTATTAAAAAAAGTCATAGATCTCTATACAGTGTACATATAGTCATCATACTTTTAGATGAATAAAATCTACATGGTGTATCTTACCAAGGAATAAAAGCTCTTAATGTTTTCGGTTTCAACATTTCTTTATCTTGCAAATAAGAAACTAATTTCAGCGCCAAATCTTCAGAAATACCGGACAGGGACAACAGGGGAGATTTCGGATCATTGATACGTTCAGCAAGATGATGAAAGACGAGGTTTAATAAAGATCTGACTGGCTTTAATAGTTCATGTACATCTTGTATATTTTCTGCTACTGGCATTGGATGCTGAGATCTTTGTAAGGCTGCCTCCGCTATTAAATACAAAAGAACAACAAGATGAATAGTTATCACCATCCCGCACCCTAGCACATGTTTGGAAGGCATAAGGAGAAACAACTTCTTGGAATATCAATGGGACTAGTCAGAAGATTCATACTCTGATCACAGTAGCTGGGCAAGGTAGGTTCGCTATTCCCTGTAAGGTTTGCACAACAACCTTTGCTCACCTCAATCAGCTACTGTATGTTAAACAATAAGCTTAAATATCAGAAAATGAAATACTATAATAGGTTGATGTTTTGTACAAAGTTTCAAAAAGATTTCTAGAATGGATAATGATATATGCTCAGGAAACGAAATTGGGACAGAAGGACAGTCATCAGAAATTAAAATAATAGGTTGATGAATGTAAAAGTGTTATAAAGGTTTCCATGGAAACACAAAAATGATTAAATCCGAGAAATTCCAAATTAGCAAAAGGCACAAGTACTATAATACGTTAATGTTTGTACAGTTTATGAGATATGCTCTTGAAACTTTGTTTGGCGCGGGATAATAAAAATGGTTAGCTACATGTACATTGATTTCTCCAAAAAATGGGACATTGTACATCAAAAACACAAATAAATATTCTTCAGACGGCAATCTGATCAATATTATATCTACACCACATTTTTTTGCAGTGAAATTCTCAATAGATGCCGATCAGTGGTTGACTGCTGAAGTTTTGTGATTTGATGTCTACTCAGTTAAAAGTAAATGTTATGTAAAATTGAGCCTGGTCAAATGTAAAATACCACAAGAGAAAATGAAAAACGAATTGAATACTTTTATATCTAAATAATTTTCATTGTTCCAGGTCTTGACTAATACAGATTTGATGTTGAAATAATATGGTGTATAACTAATATTGTTTCCCCACAAGAATACCTTTCTCAAAGTTGTCATTGTCGAAAGGGCATATCCTTGACTTACAAGCTAATAGAAAGTGCCGGGGGACCACCACACATAAATAATTATTTCCAGTTTTTACCTGCTACTTGAGCAGCTGGTCTGTTCTGGACTACATCAGCATCTGGATGACCCTGTGGTAATAATCTTTGACCGTGACCACCAAACGGTTGATTCAATTCATCCATATCTAAAACAGAATTTTCATTCAGTAAAAATTAACGGAACCTCACAAACCATGAAATGAATAAATAAATTATGGAATACGGAGAGATCCACCCAAAGAGTGGAAATACACCCACACAGCAACTATGTCTCGACAGCAGCTTATCCGAAATTTGACCAATTTTGATAAGGATGCCTTCACAATATCTGATCTCTGTCGTTTACAAGCTTGAGAAATTTTGCTAAAAACTGTTGCATTTATTGGCAAAGGCTGGATTACTCCTGAAGTGAAACTCGCAAATGGGGGGAAAGACATGGGTGAGGGCATAATACACTGTGGGCATATAAAAAATGACAGCCATCCAGATTAATGGAGAGAAAACCTATATTCCCCTCCCTTTTCCCATGTATGGTACTAATAATAAAAGGCTGATTAATGACTACAAATCACAACTTTAAATATTGAAGAGAAACTAACTGAGAAAAGGCATTCCTGGAAACTGTCCTTGAGGAAGATTATTTTGTGCAAATTGAACAATATCTTCTTCACGGTCATCATCAGGTATCTCTACAAAAAATAAAAATAATGATAAGGTAGTGTTTTGGTACATGTACAGTGAGAAATGAGGTTTTAATGTTCTTAGGGGTCAACTACCGTGATAATTTTGGTATGAACATATACATATATGTCAATTTTATTTCAAAATTTTATTTGCACCCAAGGATTATATAACAGTAGGAGAAACACCAGAGAAGGACTTATCCTCACAAAATCAGAGCTATTCTATATAATACACTTAGTCACAATCAAAATACACCAGAAGTCAGTTTTTTGTCTCTATATTCTCTATTACTCACAAAGTATCAAGTTATTGAAGCATAATTTTGATGCTCGGTTACCTGGCACATCTGAGCCATATTTTGCTGATACGCAGACTGAACAAAACTTTTTTCATCCAATGGTGACAAAATCCTGTCCAGACAAGAGGTCAATTTAGATATAATCTCAACTACAACTATTTTGCCAAACCCAACGAAACTGAAATCAATTATTTTGTGGAGAATGGACATGACTAATGTATGAGAATCACTATATTACTGCCATAAGATGTTTATACACCATCTTAAAATTTTCATTTGATTAAAATGGAGAAGGTAAAAAGAAAGTTCATACCCATGGCGTCTACAATTTCTCCTTCACCTTCCAAACGATGACCTTGACCCCATTGATGTCTTGGGCGTAATCTTGATCTAATAGATTCCTCTTCTTCCATTGGTTCATTTTCAGATATTTCGTCGGTGCTGTTGTCTTCCATGGAATCAGACACTAAAAGATAGAAAGAAAACACATTACTTCATAATCACATATCTTTGACTTGAGGAGTTAATATATTAATGATTAATTTAGTTTTTGTCAATAATTTAGCGACAGTGATCCAAGACAATATATTTTAGTCTCCATTTCACATTCATAATTGTCCTTTCATATTTCTTGTAAGATATGGTCATCAACCATTATTCAAACTACAGACTTGATAAAGAAGAATTTATTTTGTCAGTATCTTGTGCTAAAAATCTATTGAAAAACTTTCTTGATCCTTTAATTTCTTTAAGATATTTTTGCTTTCATTGCTGCATAATGGATAGTATAATAGTACACATGGCTTACTTTCTTTTTCTGACATTTCAGTAGCTTTTATTACTTTTAAATTTGAACAACCTCCATTTTAAAAACACAACACTATTTATATGGAATATAATCACTGGTTTCTTACACATACGATAAGAGAGAGGGAGAGACAAGGTTTAACGTCCACTTGACACAAACTAGGTCATTTCCGGACACACATATGGTTTAATTTTATTTCAATGATATGCTTGCCCATCGGAGACTTTTAGCAGTGGGAGGAAACCGGAGGACCCAGAGAAAATGAAATGAAATGAAATGGGGTTTAACGTCCTACTGTTCTGCTCCGACTAGGCTAATGAAGACAGGGATACGTCATACAGCGGCACTACGGCCTACTCTTATATCGAATGGGGAATTAAAATCACGCCACTTGACTCAATGACAGACCTTATGATGCAATACGCATGCGTTAACCATTCGGCCACCCAACCCCCCCACATTTGATAAGAGAACACTTGTCAAAATACTGTGCTATATGTGTAACAAACCATTTAAATTGTGATATGTTTTAAATTGTGGTAAATCACTATATGTCACTCAAAGATTATAACCTGATTGTTCTGCTACAGTCGCTGGCTTTAGTACTAAACTACCAGTTGGTGTTAATCCCAGATCTTCTACTGTTCTCTTCATGTCTTCTTTACTGAACTCTTGACGTGGAAATGGCTAAAATAGTTAAAGAAAAAACTAGACATGCAACTTTCATTTCTAAAGGATCACGTTCTCTTTGATAGGTAAAAAGAGAGTATTGACATGGGTTGATCTGATGAGCTATATTACTTTACTAAATTTTAGTTTCATTTTTAACCTATAATTCAACACTGCTTTATTTATGGACCTAAAATCTAAAAAAAATTCATAAAATGCATTTAAATCCAAAAAATTATTTTTTACCCAAATGCTTTAAGGTTGACAGACAACTCACCAGTATCCTTTATAAAACAAATTTGCTGATATTCAAAACTCCAATGAGTTTAGCACACAAAAGTAATTTTTTACTTATTTACTTTGCTTTTCATGACAAAAGAATACATATACTTATAGCCCCATTTTTTTTAAAGATTAACTTTCAATTACATAACAAAGGAATTTGAAATACCTGCATAAAAGTCATATTATTGAGTGCTTTAAATTCGGTATATACATAATCCCAGACATCATTCAACGTTGAGGTATATTCAAACATCTTCCTTAAACATCGACCGTCTGGTAATCTTATCTACAAACATACAAATATAGAAATAGGAATCCGACAACTTGCTACATACATTCGTTGTTTCAGGTGTTCTAGAAAAAGTAAGCATATTTAGTTCTTGCTTTCATAACCAAATTTGTTATCCAACTTAAATAACTTATGCTTTGAGAAGTTCTGCTTTAAATACATTTAATATGATCATTTGAATTATAGGGTTTCATGGACTATCAAACTATGCTCTAGCTGATTAGCAATCAAAACGAAAATACTGGGCCATAGAATGCAAGAATTCAATTCAGAGAGTTACCTTGAATAAGACTCTTAAACCTTTTTCCACTGAGACTCTGAATTTCTAAAATTGAAATTTACCTGTAATGTACATTTGTGTTGTGCTGATAGAGATTGAGTATTTACAGGTGTTGAAGTACAGGTAGAAGAACTATTAGATGAGGTGGAGGGGGATTGGGAAGAAGAAGAGGGGGATTTTTCTACATGTTTGTTCTCTTTCTTTAACTTGGTATCTCTATCTTCAGCTATTTGTTGTAATATTCTCTCCTTTTCCTAAAAAAAAAATTAAAGTTGCAATTTCATATTTTTAAGTTATATTTTTAAAATTTATTAAAATAAAGCCTTAAAATAGATGGTATCTATATACAGTCCTACCTTGTTAAAGAATAATCCTATTAATCCTATAATTCACTATTGCCAGTTGAGAAATTGACAAAAATATCATTTTCAACTTCAAATTCAAACGTTTGAAGATAGCTATTCCATGGGGGGGGGGGGGGGAACAGAAAAACAAGAAGGTAATTATGTTATTATTTCCGGGGTCAAAGGATTTTTAAGTGGGAGAATAATACCTATGATCGTATAATAGTGAGTTTACAACCTATTGGGCAAAAGACATAGAAATAATTATGTTTTGACTTTCTTAGAAAATATGAAATTATTGCTTTAAAAAATACAACTGAGCAGTGCTATGGCCTACTCTCATTTCGAATTCCAGCTATCAAGGGTTCTTTTATAGTGTTCACGCTAATGTGTACTCAGAACCTTGTTTTTAAGTACCATCCCAACGCCTAGACACTGTTCCTAGCCAGGCCTCCATCCTGTAACACTGGCAAGGGGCAAACACTTCGGAAAATTCTGTGGAACACAACGAGCGAACCTGAGACCTACTGGTTAGTGTGCCAGCTCGCTACCCACTTATAATTGTGAGTTGTGTGCCTTGACCACACATTAACCCCAGTTTTCAGGCATTCTTGATGTCTTTATAAATATAAATTACATCAGGATTTATATGGAAGTGACTCTCACTTAAATATCATTTCCATAATAAAAATTTCAAATAACACACCCTTTTTCTCAAACCAAAACAATTATCTACCTTTCTTTGTGCAATTTTCTCATCTCTAGCTTTCTTTTTAGCTTCTTCTCTCCGCTTCTCTTCAAACAATTCTTTATCTCTACGTTTATCATCAGTCAAATGATGTCGACTGACAACTAGATTATCTGATGTTAAATCACGAGATGTTTTAGCAGGACTACTACTGATTGTGTCTTGAAGCGGAATTGGTGCAACAAAAGGATTGGACGAAAGACTCAGCTGATTTGAATCGGTATTAGTCTGAAAGCGAAAAAATAAAATATAGGTAGACAGGGACTGAATTACCTAAACCGTAGCCAAGTTATCTGAGAAATCCGTAAAGGCTGTCACATTTTTACTCTTTTTTTTAGATAAGGGTAACAACTGAAGAAGTTAACAGAGTGCAAAATTATTATTACTTTATTTGACAGACACATAATGACGACAGAGTGAAATCAATAGAATCAACAATGTGTTCTAATAATGAAAGTAGTTTTGATGGTGTATTGGTCTAACTCTCCATCTGACATTTCAGTGCTTTTACAGCAAGAACAACAGCTGTAAGATGAATTATAATGACAATTAAAGCATTAATTGAATTGTAGATCAGTATTTAAGGTCACTCAAATGAAGATTAGATTGTTAATACATTATAGTAGAACAAATGTTAAAGCGATATTCAGCCTCCATAAAATAATTTGCCCAACAGTATTTCTTTTTTATAACATACCTGTCTGCCTAAATGAAGTCTGGGCGGTTGAGATGGCAAGGCTGCTAGTCCTGGTTTTCCTGCCAATATCCTACAAAAGTAATTGCATCAATTCATTGCTTCTTGAAGGCACTAATCCACTCAATAAAGCATTGAATTGGGTTAATCCAATGTGTTACATGTATCTCCATTAGTGATTGGGTTAGCTAAATGCCAAAAACAAAATTAAGAGAAAGACAACTTGTTTACTAATTTTAGTTTAACAGTAAATTTTGACTTACTTAGACAACTGTGAAATAAAAAATTAGTTATATACGTATACAAGATAGGGTTTATTTCTGCAAGGACAAACTGTCAGCCCAAAAACAAATCAACACATAAAATCAAAAAAAATCAACAATTACATTTTGACTCACATCAAAGAAGTCTAACCATTTTAAATGAATCTTTACCTTGACATTTGGCAGTACTGTAGACTACTTAACAAATGGCTTACTGTACATGTAGATATAGTTCTAAGCTTGCCGTTATTATGTCAATGAGTTATGCTTTCAAGTATACATGTAGTTCAGTCTGTCTGCTTCCACCGACATTATGAGATTATCTAAATTCTATTTTTTTCTAATTTTTCTCAATTACAATATAAAACAGTATTGTGCTCTAATTTTAAACCTTTATATCTCATATTTGTGCATATTAAAGTCTTATTCATACCCAGTAACAAATTTAAACATAAGCTAAATAAACTACATCTTACAATTAATAGGGGTCACGCAAATTTCTGGGAGAGAGTGGGGTTGTGGCAACCCAAGATAATGGTTTGGTAAGGAACTTTGTAAGACCTTTATACATGTAGTTTACAGCATTACCAGTTACCAAGTCTAAATCTGGTGCTGTTTTGATTACTAAATATAGACTATACTTTCAATTTATGTTGTTTGTCGAAGACTCAGATTAGCTATACCAATCACGTGATTTCATGTAGTCATGGTCTTCCAGCGAATTTCTTATAGCGTGTCACCTTGATTTTTACTTATTGTATGGTGAACATCCTTATAGATGTAGTGTGCTGGCTTTTAGTGTTCCAGGTTGATCTCGGCATATTGTTGTGAACATAAACAATGCGGCTAAGACTGGTTCGTAAACTGTTTTTTGATTGCTTTGCAGACTCAAGGTACGATAAAGGGCAGATAATTTGAATACCGGTATGTGAATATCCCATACATTAACCCAGGGTATTGTGGAATGGGACCACTGGGATACCGAGGATGTACCGGTATCTAAATTTAACAAAAATTAGGACTTAAGTTTTGTTTAGATAGTAATTTACTAGAAAAATAAATCCTGATCTGTGATGAATGAAAACATTGCCATAGTTTCTATTGTGGGGGTAATGAAGAAATGCTGTCAGGTTTCTAGACTATGGTATTATGTTAAATAGCATACAATAGCATGGCAAATTAAATGAGAGTTTTAGTCTACTATACTGTTCTTGCTATTGTGAGTGTCATCTTGGTCGGAAAATAGAATTCAAATGTGAAAATCATTTAATGTTACTTTTAATGATGAAGCATTTCTTTCAAAAAAAGTGATGAAGCATTTTTTTCTTTTAAAGTGACAGAGTATTAATTTTAGAATATTTGTAAGAAATCAGAACCTAATGATAAGGAGAAAAGAGTAAAAGGTAACAAGCAAAGGTCAATTTTTATGTCATCCTGATACAACCCTTGATAAAACTGTGAAAAAAACAGGTGTTCCTTACTTTTAATCTAGTTTTGGTCAGCGAGTTCAGAGCTATAGATAAACAAAAATAGTTTTTACCCAAAATGGTAGTTTTATTGTTTGATTTGTGTTTTAATATACTACGAAGTATGACATCATCTGATATAAGCATATAACATACACAATTATTTTTGTACGGGATCTTTGTGTATTAAAAGAACCATCTCAGATATATTTTATCAAAAAATGAAAACCGTTTTAATTCTTTGTGAAAGACTCTAAGAAATGTTTATCCTAATCTTGTATAACTATCTCAACCGCACAGATACATCTTTAAAGAAATACAAACTTTCACAGTTTCAGTTTGGCAGTTCCATTTGCCCAAGATATAGTCTAAGTAATCATCATAATATCAAGTCACTTGTAAAATTGCACAATTGAGTAACCATACAAGCAAATCGATCAATCTTTTCGAATTGGTCAATATTTTGATCTGAATCTTTCTGTCATGGTATTTAGCTTCAGGCTATGTCTTCCCATATAGGCGTCTAATTTGTATACTTAAACCCATCTTTATCAATGTATGGCCACTGAAATTTCAGGAAACTGATCCTTTAAACATACATTATGAAAGAGCTAAATCTGCCTATTGCAAGTCTTTATTTAGGCTTCAAATGCTATAGAAATTATTAATTAGACCTTTATTTACACGACAAGCTCAAAATCAACTCTGTAGACCCACGGATGGCTTGGATACAGTTTGGATTTGAACAGTCGTTCAATTAAAATTAAACCGTTAATCACTGATGTCACTACCGGAAACTGGTGATGAAAGGCCTGCCAAGTGAGGCTACCATAGCCATTGAGGAGGTGACTTGATAATCGAGAATATGTGGGTGGAGTTATCTAATGTATGTTTAATCATTTACCCTTGATAGTGTACTGTTATTACTTTGCTATGCCTACAATATAACATATGTCTGGGGAAAGAAATATTGTCATCACTGCTCTTTGACTCTATGATTTATGTTCATGTAAAAGCGTTCTTTTGCCACTGTTCATGATGACTGACCTTTAAGTTCATGTGAAGTATACATGTAGTTCTACATGCGACATTACACCCTAATGTTTATCAATAACACAATATGGCGTCAACAACAAAAGTGTTCTTTAAATCAGACTTTGTACATGAAATACAAATTACAAATTTGTGCAGAATCGGTGCCTTTTAAGTTTTACCCCATTTATGCATTTGTTACTATTCTATGTACCCATTACATGTACATTATTCAAATATAGTTCAAACACTTTCCTTTTTTTTTAGTAATTAACAAGATAGGTTGCCAGGCAAGAAAACATACACCCACAGCAGCTATAAGTCGTCCAGGCAATCAGTCAACAAGGGTTGTCACATATTTTTTCTTCTGTCAGTAATGAAAACATTTACAACATACTAAAATCTGATTTAAAAATTACGAGTAACAACCCATTAAGAAGTAATTATGAGAAATCATTAGAATTTGTTTGGCTTCTAGTTCTACCCTATACTAACATTTAGTATACAAAATATCTAATATCAAGGGCCATAATTCTGGCAGTAATTATTGGAAATTGTTAAAAATCAATAGATCTCTTTGTTTCGTGACCTTAAACACTGTGTATAAATTTAATCGGATATTAACTTTTTAGCATCTTGAGCATCCACAAAATTTTTCAAAGTGATCCTGGGTTATAACTCTGGCAGTAATTATCAGAAATCGTTGAAAATCAATAGGCCTCTTTGTCTCATGACCTTATACTTCTACACTGTGTATAAGTTTAAAGTCAATTAGGGCGTCCACAAGATTTTTCAAAACAATTACCAGGAATCATTGAAAATCAATAGGCTTCTTCACCTCATGACCTTAAACACTGTATAAATTTAAAGTCAATTGGATATTAACTTTAGCCTCTATTGTGTCCACATGCAATTGTGAATGCCAGATAGACCGCCGGACGGAGGCAACTGCATAATATTTTCAGAAGAACAGAAGTTAATATTTAAAGGACAATATTGGTGCCAGTCATTATCACATATGTGATAGAGCTGGTTAAACACATTCCAAATATAATTTTAACACAGAGATCATTGCTACGTTAGCTGAGTAATACAGGTTTCCTGAATCGGAAGTGACGAACGCCAAAGAAAAACACAAGTCATACCTCTATATAACTGATTGATGTGACGAGTGATAACAGATACACAGCCAAATTTCTGCTCACTAAAAATTCCTTCCAAGACCAAAAGGTGTTATATGGAACTGTAAGAGGATACCTGAGAATTCAATAAAGTAATTGAATGTCATCAGATAAGAGAACACGAGAAAAATAGAAATAGTCCGTACATTCCCTTGTTCATATTCATTCTATACCTTATAAAAACATGGTAATGCTTGGACTTTTTCTGTTTTTCTTTCGTGTTCTCTTATCTACTGGCAGTCAATTCTTTTTATGAATTGTCAGATATCCTCTCACAGTCTCACACAACAACTTTTGGTCTTGGAAGGAATTATTAGTGAGCAGAAATTCGACCGTGTATCTGTTATCACTTGTCACATCAGTCAGTTATATAGAGGTATGACTCATGTTTTCCTTTGGCGTTTGTCACTTCCGATTCAGGAAACCTGAATTACTCAGCTATCGTAACAATGATCTCTGTGTTAAATTTATATTTGAAATGTGTTTAATTAGTTCTATCACATGTGATAATGACTGACACCAATATTGTCCTTTAATATCGGAGGGCTAATTAACTTGCCTCGATATCATCCCTTCTAGTTGGATAGAATATAATACCTCTTTTTTTTTACAAGAATTACATGTATGTCACGTAAGTTTATACATGTAGGTACATTCGTACATGTATGCAAATAAAGTTTTAAAAATCTAAATATAAGTACATGTAAGCTTACAAACTAGACTAATCCTATCAAAAATGTTTTTCAAAATTATTTCCTTTATAAATTTGTGGATCAGTTTAGACATAATATTGATTATCAGTTTAAATAGTATTTCCATGAAACAACACTGTATTATACTTTCAACCATTTTCTTCATTAAGAATCATATATGCTCAGTGCAGGCATTTTGTCTAGCACTAACAAAATTTTTGTAGCCTACCGCTTAATTGTTTATTTTTTGTTGTGAAATCAAGACAAATAATTTATCTATCACTATAGGATTAATTCTTACCATTCTACAATTTCTTCAACTGTTATTTTACCATATTGGACTGCTTCTTGACAATCACCTAAATCAAATCCCATTGTCATCACAGTTGCTATTACGTTGTCTACTGTCTGTAATGCACAAATTTTAAAATGTGTCAAAATGAAAGCTGTGCTTTACATGACATAATGTATATCTTTTGTAAGTTCACAAACAAAAAAATAGTCTGGTTCTCAGACAATCCTTAGTGCTAATCTGATCCAATAAAGTAATTTGACTGAAATTTTTAATATATTCATTTTTGAACTATATAGCAAGAAAGGCCTGTTCATTAAAGGTAAATCTTACATAAGGCATCTTTAATCTAGCGATCCTTTCCAAATCTGGGACTACTCCTTTAAGTTGTTATTGAAATGTACACTAGAGTTCTATTGATGTATTCGTACTAGAAATTATATCTCTGCCTCTGGTGGCTGTTACAAAAATAAGCAGTATCATTCCATCAAATGGGCACAAAACCAGACCCAACTTTTCTAGAGTAAAATTTTGAGTAGAATACGATGCCCAGTGATACTCGATTGAACGTTCCAAAATTGAATTCCCTCATTTCAATCAAGTGAAATGGGGGATTTCAGGACAATTGTGCATAAGAAAATACCTTAACTAGGTTCAACTGACAATGACTGCTGGTGTTTAATTACATCCCGATTCCACTCATACATTGTACCATCTCCGTTGTCAGGATTGACAGAACTTAGTCCAGCTCTGAACGTAGGTCTCTTTACAGTCGACACTACGTCCAGGGAAGCCAGCATTGAATCAATGTCGAAGTAAACGACCGCGCCAGTCAACTTTACTGGGCAACTTTTTACCGCTAAACGGTGTCGCGTGGCAGTCCCTGTGAATACCTGAACAATGTAAAGGAACATCTTAGTGAGAAAATTAGACCTCGCTTACCATCGCTAGATCCAGAATGAGCGACACAACAGGCTGTTAAAAAATACGTCTCCACCTATCAAGTTGCCTTTTCGCTGCCATGACATTCTAAATAAAGGTCAACGTCCATATTTAGGAATGTCGGCCAAAAACACGACGAAACGAATTTTGGATAAAAATTAGAATCTTTGAAAAAAATTAGAATCCTCAGTCATTTATTGCTTTTCCCACCTTTTAATATTAGCAATAAATGACTGAAGATTCTAATTTTCAGGTATTCACAGGGACTGCCACGCGACCGTTTAGCGGTAAAAAGTTGCCCAGTAAAATTGACTGGGGCGGTCGATTACTTCGACATTGATTCGATGCTAGCTTCCCTGGACGTAGTGTCGACTGTAAAGAGACCTACGTTCAGAGCTGGACTAGACAGAACTGTGATAGGACTGAATTTAACTTCACTCACTCAAATGCAATTCTGTCAATTCCAAATTCGGGACATTTCCGACATTCTGGTTGAGTGACAATCGAGCATTACCTCAACATTTTTAGCTACCTTTTCGTAGTTAGATTATAGTCGTAATAGGTGAGAATGAGAAGACTTTTATTAGAAAAATCAATCACATTGCCCTTTTCAAAAAAATAAAAATAATTATGAAAACGACATAATCGGAATGAGTTGATATAAATGTCAACACTGCAAAAAAAAAGAAAACCCCCACAAACTTAGATTAAGACGGCAAGGCCGCAGCTGATTGGTATCATTCGTGATGTTGCCCTTCATAAGGCGACAACCTGACATCACAACATTTTCACCCGACACCACAACAACCTGACATCACAACATTTTAACCCAACAATACAAGATTTTTACGTGACATGTCGTGATGTCGGGTATTCGGGTTACATATAGGCCGTATTCCTCTCAATATTATGGTCATGTAAACTGATCCTGGTGTTAGTCAAGAAAGTTCCCCGGAATTTTGCAGCGTGGTTTCTCCCGACAACCTGACAATACATTTTTACGTGACATTATTATGATTATTACGAATTACGCCAGTTTTAATGTCGTGAAAATGTTGTCATGTCGGGTGAAAATGTTGTGCTGTTGTGATGGTGTCGACTGTCGGATTAAAATATCGTGATATTATGAAGGGTGACACCACAATACCACATAATACCAATCTGCCACCATCATATCGCAGATACTTGCTTTGGTACGGTAAGTACTAAGTATAAAGTAAAGAGATTAAATTGTAAAATTTGAAGGTTTGCAACCTCTGTAAATTGAGCAACAAAAGAATGTTGTCGGTATCGTAGACCCTTTATGAATCAAATAGGACTTATCAGTTCTGGTTAGCGCCGTTATCCATAAATATGTGTTAAAGCGTAATTAAATTACACAAATTGTCGTCTGCAATTATATTGTTTACCTGCGACGCCATTTTAATGGTGTTCTTTCGAGCAGCTACCAGACAAAACCAACTGATAAAAGTTGTTGGGTTTTTTAAAATTATTTCAATGTTTACCTCCTCGGAGCCACAACAGAATACAAATTCAATGTTTTTCTATCAATTAATAAGAATGTGTTATTTATAAGAGTAACAGCATCATCACTATGATTTCAATTATTCCAATGTCATTACTTTATCGGGTAGTTTACTACCCGAAAATACTCGTATAACCAGACTGTAGTGGAAAACAGACTTGAACATTATTACGTAAACACTGGATAACCAGCTAGTATCATTCTGCAATGGACCACACAGACAACACTATCCTTTTCGAAAATAGATCTCTGCCCCGAATAGCCACCATATCTAATAATTAGTATAATATATTTCATAATGCGGTTCTACCCCGTTTCTACCTCTGTTATACACATGTACATAAAGACTAAATTTGATAAGCCCTTTATTCTATTTTATTAAATGTAGCATAATTATTGGAGAACTCCGACATTTACCTCTTGGAATATATACATGTACCTGTCTATATATAATAGTCTTCAAAAAAAGTAGGGGATTCAGAAACAGTACAAAACTGCGGAAATACACTGCTGTTTTGATTAAAGGTAATCAGTGTATGTTAATAACAGGCCAATTGCCTACACATGAACATAAACAGTCCATATATGGGCGGCTTATCTGACGGCCCCTTTTCACTCGCAAAGAGATAGACTGTCAAAAGTGAAAATGGCCGACGTTTTTGATTTTTGTCTTAATAATGAGTAATTGCTCCACCAATCCTCAGACATTCAGCAATTCGTCGTGGCATGCTCCTGATCAACCATCCAATCACGATTTGGGTCAATCTGACCCACTCCTCTTGCAGTACGTGCCACGGCCAATTCTTGCAGTGTTGTCGGTTGACGTTGACGTCGACGAACACGTCTCCCGATCATGTCCCAGACAAGCTATATAGGGGAAAGGTCAAGACTCATGGCTAGCCAAGGCATATGGACAATATGGTGACTCTGGAGGTAGTCATTCAGTGGTCTCAGGCATTATAATCTTGAAAAATGAAACGCCGACCTGCACGTTAAGCAAAGGGCAGAACTATCGGTGCCAGGATGTGGTCACGGTAGTACACACCAGTGACCCTTCCTTGAACAATATGCTTAAGTCTGTTCTGCCAGTCATGGCGATTCCTCTCCACACCATCAGACCCACGCCCGAATCTGTCATGCTGTCTGACTTTAACGTTAGCATGACGCCCATTTACACGCCTCCAAACGCGAGCACGCCTATCGGTGAAAACCAGAGTAAATCTTGGCTCATCTGAGAACACTACACGCGCCCATCGACGAATACCCCAATTTCTACGCTACCTACACCATTGACACCTGTTTTCCATGTACTGGCGAGTTAATGGAGGCACAACACGCGATCGTTTGGGGTGTAACTCGAATTCCTGTAACTTAGTACAAGTTTACAGAAAGCTGATTGGCCGTTTGTCCTCGATTTCGCAGGACCTGTGTACGAATGTATCGGCCGTTTGTCCTCGATTTCGCAGAACCTGTGTACGAATGTATCGATCCTGGGCTTGTGTAGTGGCTCTAGGACGACCTGAACGAGGTCTATCATCAACATTGTGTGTTTGTCGGTACCGGTTCCACAGTCTGCTGATCACAGACTGTGACACATTAAGCATGTTGGCTACTGCTTGCTGTGTAGAACCCATTTGAAGCACGCCAATAGCACGTAGACGTTCATCATGTTGAAGATGTCTCATTGCAAATTAAACGTTATCCTCTTCAATGGCACTACTCTAGATGAATTCCTCCCAGCATCATAATGAAGAAATTAAAAATCTGATTCTAAAATCCTCTTCAAAATCTTGTGATCTCGGTCCAATCCCGACCTGGTTAAATACTGTATTGATGAGCATGTGCCGGTGATTGCTCATATTGTTAACACATCTTTTAAACTTGGCGATGTGTCGTCCATCTTAAAGTCTGCACTAGTCAATCCCCACCCCCTTCCTAAAAAAGGCAAATCTTGATCGGAATGAGTTACAAAAAAAAAAAACAACTTTAGACCTGTGTCCAATTTAACACTTCTTTCTAAGATCATTGAAAAGGTTATTGCTGCTCGCCTGAAAGTACACCTATCAGTAAATAATTTGGATAAAAATTTCAATCCGCATATAAAGTCTTTCATGGCTCTGATACATCATTGTTCCGTGTCCACAGCGACATTCTTACCAATATAGATAATAAACAGTGCACAGTTATGATGTGCCTCGATCTAAATGCAGCTTTCGATACTATATCGACCAGTCCCTTCTGATTAACCGTCATCTGGAATTACGATTTGGAATCCAAGGTTCTGCTCTCAGGTTGTTTACATCTTAATCAGGTCGTACGCATCATAAGTGTCGATCATCTCCTACTTTACTAAAATATGGAGTGCCACATGATGGTTCCGCTCTTGAACCTGTTTTATTCACCCTCAACACTGCACATATCGGGTATATAATTCGTGGAAATAATACCAATTATCAGTTATATGCAGATGATACACAACTTTATCTGGCACTAAACAAGTGAATACTGAAATTGATTCATGTGTTGTAAATATACAACATTAGATGAAACGTAATTTTTGAAAATTTACTGATGACAAAACAGAAGTCATACACATAGGCAACAATAAAATTCTGGAGTATCGTCCATCTTGATCATATTTCTATTGGCGATGTTAAAGTAGAATCTGATTAAAACACAAATCCTACTTCGTTTTGTTTTTTTATAGTTCAAAATTTCCTAAATATCTTCAAGAAATTATTACACCTTACACTCCCCGGAGTTCATTTCGCTCACAGAATGAGAACCTTCTCGTCTAACTAAAAGTGCTGAGAGAACGTTCGCGGATAGTGTCCTAACATTATAGAATAGCTTATCAAACTAGCGGCTGCCAGGCACTATACGCCCACGTTTTGCAAGAGATGGATAGAGAACAAGCTAAGCAAAAGCGATTTTTCGTACAATCAGTGGCCATAATTCAGGAAGTTACGATCCGATATGCGCGAATATCGAAAGGAACCGAGATCTTTGGGTTATAAACTTACATTTCAAGTTTGATCAAAATCAGAAGAAAATTGTGACCTCTCCACAACCTTGATATACCATATTTTTACGCTATTTGAGAACGAGGGACAGCCATTTTATCTGTCAGTTTTGGACCGATTTTCACGAAATTCGAACTCAACCACCCTTGTGTAACGGTGATATACTAAAACGGTTTTTTTTTAAATCGGATAAAAATTATGATCTCTATAGGGTCCACAAGCTAAAAACGTGATTTTTCGTACAATCAGGGGCCATGAATATTATGTGATTTTTTTCACTTTACCCGTCTGCCCCACAAATGTACGCTAAAGATTGATGAAACATGTGTCCGAAAACTGTGGCACAATGCAGAGTGGCTACAGACCAAAATTCCATGGTATTTCGGGCACTTATTTTTTGTCCCCGCTTTACCCATCTGCCCGATTTTCTTTTCTTTATTTGACAGGTGTGTGTGTGTGTGTGTGAGGGTGTGTGCGTGTGGGTGTGGGTGTGTGTGTGTGGGGGGGGGGTATATGTTGTCACTGGAAGACAAAAGGTTTTTTCACGAAAAAAATATATTCTTTTTTGTCCCCGCTTTACCCATCTGCCCGATTTTCTTTTTTTATTATTTGACAGTAGGTGTGTGTGTGTGGGGGGGGCGTATATTTGTAGTAATTATTGGCGAAGTTAATAAACATTTGTAGCTGTCTATTAGAGTTATTTTTTTTATTTAATTCTTGATTTCTTGGGAAGCCAATGAAGTTTCTGTAGTACAGCGGTAATGTGGTCAATTTACGAATCCTGAATCTGCCTATGACTTGCTGATTCTCGAGACTTCACATGTGATAAGAAACTTAGGCAAGCTGACAACTTCACACACAAACTTGGCAAAATAAAGTCGAAGACGAACAGGACCCTATCTTATTCAAGGTTTGTACAGCACCGAGTGAAAATCATGCTTGCCTTATCAGCTCTTTTTGTTTTGTGTGCCGCTTCAGGTGTTTTTTGTGGACCATTTCATGCGTCTTGTAAAGTTGACTGGTAAGTTTACTTTAAATAGAACAAATCAATTGGCTTTGTTCATATGGAATTAAATAAATATTAAATTTAATTTCTAAATATTATGAAATGAATTTCACCGTTTTTCAAATGATGCATTGATGATAGCCTACATTAATTTGATCATTAACCAGGTGATCCCGGGCTCCTCTGGGTATCTCCACGTGGTTGTCTCTTATCAGTGGTGCGGACATGAAATGAAATGGGGGTTTAACGTCCTACTGTTCCGATCCGCCTGGGCTAATGAAAACGGTAATATGAGGGAAATTTTGCCCGTATGCGCCAATGTGTACACGTGACCTCGGTTTTCCGTCCCACCCGAACGACTATACGTTGTCCCTTGCCAGATCCTCTGTCCTGCACCACTGACAAGAGGAAACCACACCGGAAATTCCGATGAACTTTCTCGGCCAATGCAGGGGTCGAACACGGAACCTCCAGGTGGGTGAGGTCAAATGTAGTGTTGAAGTAAATAGTTATGACGTAATGTAACACTAATATAACTATTTTCCTAACTTTTGACCTCAAATAAAGTGTTAAAATCCAAAAAGGGAGATAATACACTTATCCTGTTTCGATAATTTCTTGGATTATTTCTAAAGATATGACCCCAACAAATATGAGATTTTGTGTGTTTTGTATAAATATTGAAGGACTTTTCATATTGAATAATGGTATTAGACGAAAAAATAACAACATTTTATGAAAATAAGATAACACTTTGCATCTTACTTTTGACCTCGACAAAATGTTAACCCCTAGAGATAGAGGTAGTGTCCTAATAGAGCCCATGTTAAAAAATAGGAAAACTTCCAAGAGCTGAGATTAGGGAAATACTAGAGTGACACTAGTGTTGGATTCACTTCACTTGAGTAATTAAAAGCCAAGATAATGTTACAAATTTGATAGAGGTCAAAACAGTGAGTCAATGTTAAAGATACATTATATGGGATTAGATAAAGGGCTGGCAGTTCTCACTATAATAGTTAAAATCCAGATCATGTAACCGAGATTTTAGCGATTGAATTTTC